GGTCATAGACTCCTTCACTCATAGTTTTTCTACCATATCACATATCCTCAATAGTTAATTTTCTTTGTTTTGATCCCTTTGATGTCTTTTTAGCCATACCAATGTAGCAACAAGACTGCCAAGAAAGCAAAAGTATATGTAATTAGCCAACTTAGAAGTGAACAAAAATCCAATACTATGAGTCCTCCTCCAAAAAAAGAAAGCAAAGGGGAAAACTGAAAGAAAGAAAACCCAGTTAGTCAAGAGAACTTCCACGGGATCCTTAGAGTGAATAATTGAGTTCGTTTGCCCCTGACATTGTGTTTATTTTAAAACAGAATTATTTTTCTTAACATATCTATAAAAGAGAAAAAGTTCACCATTTCCATATGCAGTACATATGAACAGAGGCAAAGGGCAGTCATGTGACTTGTTTGAAATAGCACAATTAAGTCAATGGCTGAACTGTAAACAGAACTTAGAAAGCCCAACTGCTAGTCTGCTGCTCTAACTAATGGATTATGCTCCCTGCTACGTAATAGAACTGTTTCCTTTAATTACAAATTCTTCATTCACCATCAGATTATCAGCCAGAGGCTGTATCATTAGTTTTGCTCTTCTTGGATTCGTGGCATTATTCCAAGAATATCAGAATTTCATGGTAAAAAATATAAAAACCACTGCTTATTGCACTACACCAAATCTGAAAATTCCAACTGCCCATGGTAAGGATACTTAATAGCACATTTACAGGTAGAACTGCAATTTTAACCTCCATTTATGCTTGGTCTGTGACCTAGACAAGATGAATTTTGTTTTTATATAATCATAATATCAGTGCACTTAAAATATGACATTAGGGCATTGTATAGTATCATGAGTCAACAATATTCCCATATATGACCTGTATGCAAAAGTCTAAAAGGACTGTAAAAGACATATTTTTTGAACATTTGTGATGTTCGGAAGTAATAAGATAAAATAATGAGATATTCTTGTAGTTCATGCTAAAATCTATAAAAGAAAATTTACGGAGTAAACAAAGTAAATATCTGAAAAGAGGTGTTTAGACAGTTGTCTTTGAGAAGCACTTTGTGTTTCTTTGGCACATATCACGGCAGCAATAGTAGCAGCAGCCTTGCCCTTGGTGCTGATTTCTTACTACTCTAAATGTCTCCTCTGAGCCAGAATACACTGGCTGTTGCTGATCATGCTGTGAGACACCTGCACTGGCTACTAGGCTTGTCATGACGCACAAAACCCTACCATCTTCAGCTTGACATTGTGCAAGTTATAATTATTCATCCAAATGAATATGTCAGAGCAGCAGCAGCAGACCTCTCATCAGAGCAAAAGAAAAATACATCAAAACATTATCAACCCAGCAGGAAGACAGGGACCATAAGGAAAATTACCCATTTTTAATATGGATGCCACAAAGCCATGTCTATTATATTACAAAAAAAAAAAGGAAGAAAAATAAAGATCTCCAAGTTTAAAGTCCAGAAACACTGAATTCAAAGAGCAATTGTGAAAACGCAGACAAGGATTTTTAAAAATTCAATTATCTGAAACCTACTTAGTCTCTTAAATATAACTTTGCTATTAGACTGTAATAGTAACAGTTATGTTGCTTAAGAACAACTATTTAAAAATTGCTAAAAACAAAACAACAAACCTCCCACAAACAGAATTGTTTCCAGCCAGTCAATAAGAAAAGCTCATATATAACAAAGAGATCTCATATTGCTTATTTTCAAAACATAAAACCAACATTCTTATCATCTCTAATAGACTCACAGAGTTCATACTTCTGGTACCACCAGCAAAATTCTAATGATGTACAGCTAGACTCTTATAGGTAAATAATATTTTCGAAAACTTTCTAAATTGTAAAGACATGTGTTAAAAAAAAAAACAAAAAACCATGAAATGACCCCCAGACCTCCACAAGTGGAGACACATCAAAACTGTATAAGCATACAGAAAACAGGCAAGTCTAAATACAGATTGCTATCTCATACTTAAATGCTTAAATAGAAAAATTATAACTTTTAGAACTATAGGAGAATGTATTTTCAGAAAAAGATATGAAAGATTTTCTTCTTTGAGACACAAAAGCAGAAACCACAAGGAAAAAAATGATAAATGTAACCGCACTGAAGTTCAACTTCTGTATGACAAAATACATCATATACAAAGTTAAAAGACATGCCAAAGGGAAAGGATATTTACATCCCTTACAACCAACAAAGAATTAGTATTCAAAATATAGAGGGAATGTATACAATAAAAGAAAAAGACATGAACACAGTAATGATGACCGATAAGAATTAAGGTCAGACTAAGAGCAGACTGAAACTTGGCAAAGAATTGGGAAAGTAAGAATTACTATGCATTGCTGGGTAGAAGAATATAAACTAACACAACCAATTTGGGAAGGCAATTTGGCAATATATAGTAACCTCAAAGAAGCACATTCTCTGAAATCCAGTATTTTTACATTCTAGGAAAAAGCCACACTAAAAGTCTCATTCGTGTGCACAAAGAAATATGTAAGGGTGATCACTGCAGCAGTGTTGTCAGTAATTGTGAATAACCTTATCAGTGGGACAAAGGATAAATCAACTGGTTGATTGACATAATGGGATAAAATAACTCATTTAAAATAAATGTATTAGACAAACATAAATTAGTGATAAATCACTGAAATATTATATAAATAAAAGTTAGACTGTAAAGATGGCATAAACAAACGTCAAAAATATGCATGAATAGCATACACACCAATTTCAGGCAAACAGTTACCTGTTTAGAGAGAGAGAAGCAAATAAAAATGAGTTACAGAAAACAAGGTGGAGTCCTAGCTGTTCTTAAAACATCTTATTTCTGAAAGAGGAAAGAAAAAGATATATCTGAAGTAAATGTGACAAAAATATTAACAGCTATCACATTTGAGCTGTGTATAAAAAGGTAACTTAATTTTTATCTGTACTTTGCTAAGAATTTCAGTGTATTCTATAATTTAGGAGAAGAATTTAAGATCCAATGAGACCTAAAACTTGAATGTGAATTAATAGTATAAATACTTTATGCTTATATAAACAAGGCACTGAGCTGGTATTAAGTAGGGATACAAAATTTAAAAGAGATTACCTTCAAAAATTTTCCAGTCACCTGAACGTCACAAACTAATTTTGTTATATGGCAGAATAAAGTAAATGCTAAACAATATTGTTAATGTCTAGAAGAAAAATTTTGGAGTTATCATCATAAAAAATACTAAGAAACTCATCCACTTTGGAATTGTGATAAATATTAAGTTTAATTTAGAGATAACATCTGGAAAGAGTAATACAATCCAGATTCAATATTTTCTCATGAGCTCACTTAAAACATAAAGATTAACAAGCCTCCAGAGTCAAATAAAAAAATGTACATTAAAAAAACAAGAAAGCTATACAACTTATGCATAATTCTGATTCTTTAAAGGAAAAAAAATCTACATAATGTTTCTTACAGGTTTATTACATACATTAATATACCAAAAATAAATCACAGTCTCTCCTCTCCTTTATTTTATTATGTTTTCTGGTTTTTCACTGGGGCGGATTAGATTTTTTGTGCTTTTAAAAAAAGAAAATGAGCAATAAATTTGAATAAAAAGAACACATGATTAAAATGACATTTGCTTCATAAGACTACTTTAATCCCATCAGGGTACTGTTTTTTGTTTTTTTGCTGATTTCATATATAACTATTTTATCTGTATATTTATAATTTAAAATATAACCATAAATTTTTACTTAAAGCTCATTAAAATTTTATTTTAAAAAATCAGTATCCTTAATTTAGAGACTATATTTATAAAATGTCACTAATTTTATTTCTCTTTGCCTAAGAATAGAAATGTTTTCTTCATTTTGCTATCAATTGCCACAATTTACTAGATGAAAGAAAGACCACGTCCTAACCATATTCTGTCACATCTTTAACAATCACACACACAAAATGCTGACCAATAGTACCACTGAAAATCACAGTACCTTATATCTATATAACTTTACCATTTACAATATAATACTAAAAACATTATCTTATTAAATATCATCAATGTACTAATAAAACTCTTCTATATTCATTTCTCAAAGTACAAATGTTCTAAAGCACATAAAAAAGAATAGAGTCTAAGTTCAAAGATGAACTCAGGACAAACACTTTAAAATAACAAAAATGGAGTAGAAGTGGCAAGATTTTATATTTTCAGTTATAATCCATTCTCTTGAAAAAAAATTTTCTATATTAAGTTATCAATGCTAAAAGTTTCAGCAATAAGAAAAATTTCACTCAAATATCCACCTACTACCCAATGGTTTCTAAAGAGTTCTTTAGAATTTAAATTTAAAGGAAAATGAGCTTGAGTACATTTACTCAAAAGAGCTCGGGTATGTTTACCAAGAATGATGCATAAAGGCCTGGAGGCCAGATGGAGAGAGTGTGAGTGAGTGAGTGAGTGAGTGAGTGAGTGAGTGAGTGAGTGTGTGTGTACGTGCGGAAGGCTGAGGCGGAAGGATCGCTGGAGCCCAGCAGGTCAAGGCTGCGGTGGCCAGGAACGGCCATTGCACTCCAGTCTGGGCAACAGAGTGAGACTCCAACTGAAAAAAAAAAAAAAAAAGGAATATACCATTGGCTCTCCCTATCCATATGTCTCACACTGCAGATTCAATTGGTGATAGAAAATATTCATGAATAAATAATAATGATAAAATTGAAAATATTGTATAACAACTATTTACATATAATTTACATTGTGTTTGTTATTATATGTAATCTAGAGATAATCTGAAGTACACAGGAAGATGTGTATAGGTTATAGACAAAGACTATGCCACTTTACATGTATATGACAGACTTGAGTACACACAGATTTTTGTATCCATAGAGGGTGCCACAAACTATACTTCACAGATACTGAGGGACAATGGTACTCTTTATTTACTTAAAACAAATTTTAAATTTACCTGTGGTGTCCAGGAAACAGAAAATGGAACAGGAAAATCCACAAAACAATCTGGTGATTCTGCAGGGTACTATAAAAAAGTACAAAATCAGGCATGTTTGCTTTTGTGTAGTAATTTCACATGAGGTACTTTAGAAAACTGGATATGTTAGGGAAAAAAGTATTAGTATAACTGCAAATACATTATATATAAATATTTTTACTCTACTACCATAGTAATACTGAAAGCTGATTAATAGTCAACCTGTGCTCAGGAGGCATTTGGTGATTTGGAGGTGCCATAGCAGTCAGTGTTGAGTAAAGAGTAATAAATTAAGTCAGTGTCAGGTCAGCTGCTAAAGTTATTATTTGAAGAGAGAACCAAACTGGATCCCGGTTTATCTTTAAGATGAGAGAACAAAATAGTGGATATTTAATTTTCTTCTAGTCTAAAATTTAATTTGAAATAGCATCAGTTACCATTTAAATAGGCAGTACCAGTTAAACAAATCCAAAAATTCACAAATGAATACATATAGCTATCAACTTAAATTTTCCATATTAAAGCAATTACTTCTAGCAAAAAGATAAATAAATAGAAACAATGAAATGCCTTCTGGCATATTCAGAAAAAATGAAACTAATGGCTTTAAGTCAGAAAAATATTTTCAAGACCAGTAAATAAAAAATTAATTCTTCAATTAGTTATACAAAAAGTGGCAGTCATAAGAACAATTAGGTTTCTAAGTTAAAGACAAAAGGAAGTTTTTCTTAAAATCAATTTTTATTAGAAACATGTACTGCATGAATTCTCTAAAATCTAATTCTGCTTCTTCAAAATCACATGTAATTAAAAATACTCACTTATTTCCATGAAAAAGCTAAATTCACCAAAAGAAAATTAGTTTTAGAAAAACTTCCATTTGACAAAATGTTGAAAATAAGTTTTAGACTTTCACTTTTTTCAGTTTCTTATTTTTTAGTACTTTACTGGGTAAACAAAAGGGGACCAAAACCAAAAAATCACTATAGTATTTAACAAACATTTTGAAACTAAAGCTTTTCAAAAAAAACATTTAGCTACAAAGATCCATTGGCTAAAAAAACTATCAATGTATACTCTAATGGTATCTGCTGTGTTGAACCAATTAACATAAAGGCAAAGGCAAATATATAGGAAACCATATAAAAATATGATACAATGCTCTTCCTCTGAAAAAAAAATCACACTGAAAATTAAGGAAGAACACTCTATTTCAGACAAGTATAAATTGAAAATGTCAGACGTACTTCAGAACATAACTGCTATAATCACTGGAAAAACAATTTGTACACCATACTAAAAGTCATATGATTATCTTAAAGTGAATGCAGGCAGAGAACTCAGCTTTCTCTGGTTCCAGCTCTACTAATTAACTTGTATGATCTTGAACAAGTCACTTAATTTCTCTGGCTGTTTCAGATGCAAAAGCAATGGAACTCAACTAAAGGTGTTACAAAATCTCTTTTCCCTTTAAAATGTCAGGATTATTTAAAAATAATAATGCCCACTTGAAACCTCCATGGGTCAAAAATGGAAAATTTAGTTCATTTTGAATTGCTACTATTTATCTTCTAGTGATGCTGACAATAAACAATATCAAGTCTCTAACTTAAACGACTCACATCAATCTAGACAGAGTAAGAAGCTAATGAAATGTTTACGGTATTTGGAGTAGAATACCAAATAAAATCTCTATGGCTTCATTAAGTACAAACACAGCTCACTGCATTAAAAAAGAGTAAGATCCTACATTCAAAGAGGACTCTGTATAGTAAGTGGTACAAATGGACTGACATGGAAAGAGATTCACAAATAGTTTTAAAATAAATGAGTCTACTAATGTACTTTCTGAGATGATGACATCTTTCAAATATATTTTCACATTTGTAATACAAGTAAGTATATAATCAATTGGACTGAACTACACGAGGGTGGTTTTATTAGATAGCCATTGTGAGATTATGAGTAAATAAATACATATATGTGTTAATTATATTCACAATTAAAATCAATTTTGCATATAACAAACTTTATGTAACAGTACAGAACTTAAAAAAGACAAATGTATATGTCTGGATGATTTTTCATAAATTAATAAAATATAAACTAGCACCCTAGATATTCATTTTCAAAAGTTTCTGAATTATAGTAGTATTAACTACAATGTAGATGACAAACATAATGTTAAAAAATAACTTGATCAAAATTAAGATAGTTTTCAATAGTAAGTTGTATAGGTATATATAAAACTACTGGAAGCTAACTGTCAAAATTTTTACTTTAACAGTCTTATTGGCACAAATCTTCACATACTGTAATATTGACTGAAAAATAAGCATGGTATTTAATTATTTTTAAGTAAAATCTAGTTCTCACTCAAAGCAATTCAATAAATCAGTAACTATAAAAATACAATTAGTACATAATATTAAGTATATATTTTTATCACATGCAATAAATAGTATGTTATTCTAAGAAAAAATTTCATCAAGGCTGTTCTGTGATTGGACCATCTAAGCAGCAAGGCTGACACCCAAGTGAGTACATACAAATTGCAGCAGACACAGAGTACACAGCCTTTGATACACAACTGTGATTTATTTTTCAAGTACTTCTGGTCTCAGCCAAAACTGAGGAAGCCCTGGGCTAATTCTTTTGTAAAGCAAAAATAATTCAGTCCCATAGCTCAGAATGTATTGTATAAGAACTGCATAAAAATACACCTATAAAAACCACAAAGTATGTTTCTCTTATATTTTTTATTTACATATATTTTTAAATCTGGGGTATCTAGTCAAGATGGTTATTGTTTTCTTTGTGGGTTTTTGGAGACAGTGAGGGAGGGTGGTAGAACTGGGAGAGTACATATTCCAGAATAATATTAAACAAATGCATTTGCTCTACTACATAAAAAAGAAATGTGTATTTATGAAGGTAAGCCTGTTTTAAGGTTTGCTTAAAGAAAAATTCAGCTTTCCCATAAAACTTAGTTTGGATTAAGATTTTGCATCATGAATCTTTAACATATAGTTTCAGCTACAACTGTTTTTTAACTGATAATCCCAGGACCAAATATTCCTGAAAAAAAGAAATTACCACATCTCAAAGACAACTTTGGTATATAAAAGCTAAACTAAATAAGTAAAGATTTGAATAAATTGTACTACAATACAAAATTCAGTTTCAACATTTAAAAAAAAGAGATTTTATTCTTTTTCCTAATTCACTACTGGCTCAAAACACTTTTCTTTTGCCAGGTTGTCCTTAAAAGTGCTTCATTACTATAGATAGCACAAAACTGACAATGGAAAATATTCCTCAGAAAAATATTATGTGTCATCTTATCTTCCTTGAAAAGACATAAGAAAAAAACAGACAGAATAGACCACATTAAGTTGGCACAGCCTCACTCTCAAAACTACCAAGAATGAAGTAAATGTGATCATTTTGGATTAATAATAAAATCTTGTAGGTGTAAAGGCTGCATAAACTTACAGCATTATCTCCCTAGTAAAGTAGGAGGGTTTTTAAAAATGAGGACAGGATGTATTTAAAATCTTTCATTTTGGTCTTCATAGAAACAGAGCAACTTTTATCAAGGTACAAAATATAAACAAATAGAGCTTTGAAAGAAATGACAGAACCCTTGCCACTGGCAGCATGTGACCTTTCGGAAGGATAAAGGCAGATTTCTCCCTGATCTTAAAAAAAGCACACCTTTATAAACTAAAAAAGGAAAAGAAATAACTTTTCATTTTAATGAAAATAACCATCCAACTCCTTTTACAAATAATAAGGTTTCTATCCTACTAATTTTTTTCTAACACTTAACACATATGGGTCTTAAAATTATACCTTAAACATTCTGTGTGAGAGAAAGAGAGAGAATGAGTCATTTCTCAACCTGTCTGATACAGAGCCACTCTAAGATATCAACTTTTCTGTGTCACACAGTACAGCTTTATATATTAATTTTCTCTTGTGGAAAGCTTAAATGCCAGACACATTTTTAAAAAGGACAAACACAATTGATCTTTTCATCACTACAATCTTCTGAAATAGAGTTGATTGATGACTCCTAGGAACAATAAAAAAAAGTTGGATGTCCTGGTTTTTCTTCAAATTCTAATGTTTCCCCAGTGACTAAGTAAATGATTAATATGCTGAACTTGCTTATTCCAGTTATTTCTAAAAATTCACAATCTAAAACTAAAAAGTAAAGATGAAACAACCATGGTCTTTGCTAATAAAATTAGTGAATAATTACAGATTACTAGCCTGTAAGGAAGTTATAAATAGAGGTATAACCTTTGTAAATTCTTGCAATACATAAGTCAAAAAAACTTCCCCAAAAGAAACAATTAAAAGTACACGTATGTATTGTCTGTGTTAGGAGGTAAGGACAGGGTGAGGGTCAGAAATAAGAATACAAACTATCAAAGAAAGTCATAGTAAGAGTTGAAGGCAAAAGACTTTTTCATAGAACCTGAAATAGTGGAAGTATCCACTCTTTTCTACATTAGGATTTCACAAAAACATTATGGTACTCTGAGGATGCCAAATCTTATTTGTCATATTTCCTTATAAAGTCTATTTTTTTTTAAATCAAATTTGTACTAAAATGATGACATGAAATTACATCTAGGCTTTTGGAAACCTGGTGAATAAATTCTTTGAAGCTTTCCAAATCAATTTTTTGGAGGATCACATATGTATTTTTAGATGCAACTAGCACTTCCTTACACTGAAAACATTTGGAGTTCATTTCACAAAGTACTTCCTGATTACAATAACAGTTTAATGAGGCACATACCTTCGCTTTCAACTTGAGAGTGATTAGATGCTCTCTACCAGAAGCATCTTCTGCTTTTAACTTGATGGTACTGAAGCAAGTATCCACATATACAAGTCTGGTGAGTAGAAAAAAAAAAAAATGATCACACTGGGGAGGGCTGGGAAGGGGGTTTGGAGATGGTAGGATTCAAAATGAAAATATTTGCTATATTCCTATTAATCCATTACAAAAATTAATCAGAGGAATTTCTGCATGCCAGCCCTTTCTGCTGCTATAGATTTACTGCCGTTAATACACCAGCCTAGTGCTTAATGCAGTCATAGATCTCTGGATTATTTACAATGTGTGTCAAGGCTCATGCTGTGGTCAGTGAGCACTATGTTTCAGTTTTCCATCACTAGAACCTTTGGCACACACAGCATGTTCCTGTCAGCCTCTACTTATGTACACATTAAACTTCCTGTCAAACTCTTTGATCCATTTCTGTAGTTTCATACAGTATGAGACTTTTATGCTTCCTTTGTTTTTCTCCTCGATGAACTTCTCCCGTATTATCAATAACGTTACTGTACAAAATTCTAGCTGATATTAGTTCATATACTCAAATTGATCCTCTAAGGAAAATGCTGTATAAGCACAGGTACAACCTAGCCTCCTAACAATAAATTTTCTTTTTGCACAATATATAGCTTCTGACACTTAACCTGGGCATGTATTCCAGATGACTAATATTCTAAACATAGAGCACAAACACAATTGTTTTGGCTTTAAGTTGCTCTAAATGCATGGATTTTCTACAGTGGAAACCAATACCCTTTGAAATATATCATTCTGTAAAAACATGGTCCCTTGAGTAGCATAAGCTTCTGCCAAAAAGGTTCAAACTTAGCAGTATATTTACTAGTGAACTGGACATGTGAATATTTTTTGACATTTTTACAATACTATTCTCCTCTAAAGATAAAAAGTAGTCTAAGAGTATTGCACAACATATCACCCAGACTGATGGTAAGACCCATTAAAGTTCAGAACTAACATTAGCCTCCTAACCTAGGAATTTTTTAAATTTTTAAAAAATTTTTTTCAATAAGACTATATGTCACTTAGCTACTGACCAGGTTCTGTAAAATGGTAAAATGGGTCAATTTCAAGAACTGCAAGGCAATGAAGGCATGGAATACTGTAATGAAAATAGATCTAAATCTGAAGAAGCCTATCTTCAATAACAGAATAAAAAATTAAGCAAATAATCTATATTAAAAGATGGAAATTTTATCATTGTATGTAAAAAGTCTGGGGTCTTAGAAAATAAATTATTTAAGAAAAAGTGCTTTATTTACATACAAATATCAATGATTATATAATCTTTATTTTCTTTCAGTTATGTCTATAAATCTCTCAAACCCCCTACTTCTAAAAAATTCGATTATGAGTCTTTATCACATGTTTATCATATGACTCTAAGGTTCAGATATAAAGGTATCTGACTCTTAAAACACTTCCACAATTCAGATTCAGGATGTTGAGATAAGCACATGCATTTATATCCTCTATTTCCTTAAGAAAAATATTTATTTAAAAATAAATTAAAGGAATTATTAAAAGGCATAAACCCCCTGTTACCAAAAATAAAAATAAAAAAGGAATAGAATTAATTAAAACATATTTTCAACAACTTAGAAAACATACAGTAGGTAAAAGAGTACTGGCTGACAAAACAGATTGGGGGTGGTTTTCCAGGGGGAGACAGCTGGCAGAAAGGCAAAGTCTATAGGAGAGAGAATATGATTGATATACTGGCAGAAATTTTTGAAAAAAAAAAAACCTGTTTTAATGCAAGAAACCAAAAGAAGAAGAGAAACTAAATTTTAAACAATAAAGCAATTGTAATTACTTTACCATTAACTTTTCAGTAAAAAAATATTTATGTAGTCATAAAATATTAAACTGTTTACTAATTACAATTTTTAGAATCCAGCTATAGACAATGCTAAAATACCTAATTATATTTATAGAAACTAATGTAAATATATGCGACCATAGCAATTTAAAAGAAAGAGATGACAAAACTTGAGAAGTGGAAATGGAAAGATATCAGGAGGGAAGATTAGGAACAATAAAATCGGTAATTGCTCATTTAAGAGTCCAGAGATACCATCTTTAATTGAATGGACGTAAAAGAGGTTTTAAAAAGAATAACACTAATGGAAAAATAAAAAAATAAGGAAGAAAGTGGTTTGTTAGCTGAATTCTTTTTTATTATAGTAGTCGGTATGTAATTCCTAAAAATCAAGAAATATTGAATGTAGGCATATTATTTAGAAATATGAACATTTCAAAGTGTATGTCTCAAATAATAACACTAGGAACAGGAAATGGTATAGGAAAAGGTTGTTTGCTTTTCACCATAAGCTCTAAATAGTTTATAACCATGATGAATCTATACAAAGAGAGAAAAAGAGAGAACACACAAGAGGGATGGAAGGGGAGAAGAAAAAAACACTAAACTAACAACTAGTATTTTATTTCACATGCTGTTCATCATCACAATGTTTAAAATCATTATCGAATAACATCCATAAGACAGAAATAAAAGCTCTATTCGTTTGTTTGTAATCATATAACATAAACATTAGCATCATTCCACAGTTTAAGACACACAGGTAACACATTACAGGAAAAAAATGCCATGTTCAAAAATATGGCCATTACGTCAAAATAGCCATGAGGTTAATTTTGTTGAATTTTAAGCAGTAATTTAAATAAAGCAATACAAAGCATTTATAATATCAGGTTAATATCAGCATGACCACTTAAAATTAAGAAATATTTTATCCATGTTGATTCCTGGCGACTATGGGGTGTAGAAAAAAAAAAACCTTACTATGATTAACATCTTGAGGACATGTGAACTAGACTGCCAACTGACCTCTAGTATTCATTCTCACCCTCTAACATTTTGGTAATAGGAACACTGCCCCCACCTCACTCCAAACTAAACCAAGTTTTAGCAAGATCTGGGATCATTATAATAAAATTACACTTTCCCCTCTTTTCTACTCTTATTCTCTCTTTCTACAAACCAGAACTTGGACACGCCACTATAAGACAAGTTCAGGCCAGTATGAGACAGCAAAGACCATGAAGATAGGAACAAGACTTGAGTGGGATGCTGACAAACAAAACTTTCTGTGATGATAGAGATATTCTGTGTCTGCACTGTCCAAAACAGTAGCCACTAGCCACATTAGCTCTTGAGGACTTAAAAGATGACCAGTATGAAAAGTGAATTTTTTAAAATTTAATTTAATTTAAATCTAAATGTTAATAGCCAAATGTAGCTAGTGGCTACTATATTTAACAACGCAGTCAAAGTGGATGGTTGAAAAACAAATTAAAAGAAACCTGAGTTCTTGAATGACCTTGTAGAACAGAGCTATCCACACACTCTTTACCATAAGCCTATCTCTAAACTGTTAGATTAGAGATGAATAAAATTCTACCTTGTTTGACAGGATTTGTCGTTCTCTTTGTTAACAGCAGCATAACCTATGACCTAATAGAATATATTTATATCTATGTATGATAGGAAAAAATATTTTGGTGTTTGGTCTGTTAAAGAGATATTAAAGGAAACAAAAACAGGTGACAAGCTGTTTTTTGTTTTTTTTGAGTTGGAGTCTCACTCTGTCGCCCAAGCTGATGTACAGTGGCACGCTCACGGCCATTGTAGCCCTGACCTGCTGGGCTCAGGCAATTCTTCCACCTCAGCCTTCTAAGAAGCTGGAACGACAGATGCAAGCCACCATGCCCAGTTAATTTTTTTTTTTTTTTGTACTGTAGAGATGAGGTCTCAGCATGTTGCTCAGGCTGGCCTCGAACACCTGGTCTCAGGCAATCCCCTCGCCTCAGCCTCCCAAAGTGCTGGGATTATAAACTTAAACCATTGTGTCTGGCCAATAAGCTCTTATAAGTGATGTCAAATTAGATTTTCTAAGAAAGTCTATTTCAAATACTAAGTTAAACATCTCAATTTAGAGAATAGGGAAAACATGATTTTTATTCATTTAAATAAAACACAAATAATTCATTTAAACTAATAAATTTAGAAATTTTTCACCACTGGAAAGCTCAAATTTTTAAAAAGTTATTATACATAAAATGCTAGTAAAAAGGCCACCAAATCACATTTAAAATTTATACTGAGAAGAGTTTAGGTATTATCACTTAGCTAGGCATATTTTAAAATTGACTAAGAAAATATAAACATTTAAGTATAAAATCTAAAGAAATAAAATATTTGATTTTTAGGACTTAACTTTGGATTTATCATTTGCTACATTTCTTTATACATCTGCTTTCAATAACTAAAAAGAACTAAACTTGAGAGTTAAGTTTTCTGAAAATCTGAAAAGGATGTTAATACTTAAGCTTCATGGAGGTTTTTGCTGTTGTCCCTGTTAATAGCTGAATGTTATCAGTACAGAGAAGCAGAAGAAATGTGCTTTATATCTCTTGAAATACTGCTCTTATTTTGACCAAAAGCTTAGCTTTTCTTTAACCATCTAGATGCATTTAAGTAGTAATAACATCAAAAGGCAGACCGCATCAAAAAACAGACTGGAGTCCCTCATGTTTTAGTAAAGCATCAAAGTTTCCATTTTTATGCCATTCTCAAGTTAAAGCATTAACTACTTCATATCTAGATTACTAAAAACTATCTCCCTAATGGTTTCTTCACTCCCTGTCTTCTCTGTATACCAATCTATCTGGCCTTCTGTGTCTAGATTAATCTTCCTAAATACTTTTTTAATCACATCAATCCCTTGCTCAAAAATATTCAATGAGTCTCCACCACCTGGATATAGAGAATCAATAGTTTAGCAGTCAAGACCCTTCCGTCTAGCCCTAAAGTATCAATCCCCTTATATAAACAACTGAAGCAACTGGCCTATTCCAAAGACCAAAAATAAATTATATAATTCCATCTCTACAAACTTATCTCTACAACTCCCTCCCTTTTAAGGCTCTCTATATTCCTTCCAAGCTTACCCCAACACTTAGCTCCTTTAAGAACCTTGCTAAATTATTGGTAGCCCAAATATACTTCACATT